ATGCCCACCATGAGTTGTGGCATTCCGTCCTAGGTAATGACCAGAGGGGATCAGCGCTGGCAGAGCAGATTGACTGCTCCACATTCTGCACGGTTAACGAGGATGCCCCCACCAGAATAAGAGGAGAGTGTCACAGTTCGCCAGATTTAACCATAGTGTCACCCGGTCTGATAAATGACGTGACTTGGCAACCCGTCATTTCTCTTGGCTCAGACCATCTCCCGATAACAGTGTTGGTAGCCCTTGACCTATCAAAGGCATTTGATACGGTCAATCATGCCACACTGTTTGAGGACGTACAGAGAACTACCCTCCGGCCAAGTTTGAAACGTTGGATAATCAACTATATGTGTGGACGCCAGTCGTACGTGGAATTCCGGAACAAGAAGTCCAAAGCCCGTAGAGTGAAACAGGGAGTTCCCCAAGGTGGGGTGATATCCCCGGAACTGTTTAACCTCTACCTTTCCGGAATTCCTCGCCCTCCAGACGGCATTGAGATCGTAACGTATGCGGATGATTGCACGATCATGGCGTCGGGTCCAGTGGTCGATGACATATGCGAAAGGTTGAACCCCTATCTCGCGGAGCTTGCCGCATACTTCCACGCGAGGAATATGAAAATATCCGCCACGAAATCAACGGCCACACTCTTTACCACATGGTCTGCGGAGATGAGAACACAGCTGAATGTTCAGGTCGAGGGGAATTTAATACCGACCACGAACTACCCCAAGATTCTTGGGGTAACGTTCGACAGCATGTTCAAGTCGTCCGCGCAAGCCACAGCTATCTGCGACAAGATGAAAAGTAGGAACAAGGTCCTCAAGGCGCTAGCCGGCAGCTCTTGGGGTGCGGACAAAGAAACCTTGTTGACCTCTTATAACGCGATAGGTCGGTCTGTGGTCAACTATGCGGCTCCAGTGTGGTCTGCGAATACTAGTGCTACGCAGTGGAAGAATATCCAGACCTGCCAGAACGCTGCCCTGAGAACTGCGACAGGGTGCCTCCTCATGACACCAGTGGACCATCTACATGAGGAGGCGAAAGTCCTTCCCTTACGTCAGCGCTAACCTTTTTAATTGCTCAGCCAAACCTACCCAACTCACTCCAGAGGATCTCTGGCTACAGCCCGTTAAAGTAGCCGAATTTCTAAACCTGGAGCTGGAACCAGATTAGCAGAACACAAACACACACATGTACTACTGCTACAACAACAACAACAACAACAACTGGCGCCATTCTTCCTCAATACGTTGTAACCATGGACCAATGAATATAAGGTAGGCTAAGTTAGTGAAAAATGCAGGTAAATGAGCCTGTCACCTGTATGGATTTGAATGTCAAAATTACTATCGAAACAAATTCAACAAGATGTTTTGATATTGAGACTGATGAATGGGGGCAACAAAATAATATAGATTCCATTAAATCTGTAAGATTGATAGAACTTCAAGAAGAAGCGATTCCCAAAATTCAGCCAAATTTTAAAATTATTTCCGTTGAATTCATTAAAAGTGGAATTGTTTTATAAGATTTTTAAATGTTTAAAATTGCAAATATTATTATTTTGTTGTAAGATTTAAATTGATGTTATTTTTTAAGTACAATTCCAAGCAAGATCTCAATAAAAATACATACAAAGTCCATTTATTTATTGATACTTGGTTTTATTTTTTTTAATTAAATGAACAGTGCTAAACAATGCTAACGCCAAACCAGCAATATCTTCGAAATTATTTTATATAATTAAAAATAATGCACACATATACAACTAAAATTCTTAAGCAAGGCGAAGCAAAAAAAAAAAAAATAACTAAATAAAATAAAATCAGGACGCCAAACTAGCAATATCAAAATTTAAATCAAACATAACTCCAAAATAGCTCAAACTAATATAGCCATTTTCAGCCAATAAGGACAAATATTTATTTTTGTGTCCAGTGTTGCTCATAAACAATTTCACATCGTATGAAATGCGATAATAATCGAAAATATATATTTTCTTTTTTATTTATTTTCAATGTACAGAAACCTAGCCGACAGGCTATACATGACTACTCTAAATCTTAAAAGTCTTACTTAAAATTAAACACTAAAACAAATTAACAAAAAATGAACCATATTAACAATTGATTGACGGTTCCAAGAACTCCTATACATGACTACTCTAAACTATTCTTAACATCCTTAATCTTAAAAATCTTATTAAAAAATTAAAATTAAAAAAAATTAACAAAAAAAAAAAATGAGCAAAAATCACAATTCATTGAAGAATTAGATAAATCAACTATGCAAGGGAAACAAAAAAGAAAAACAAATTGACACAAGAAAACCATATATTTTAAACAATATTGATATGAGCATATAATTTACGCTTATAACATTTTCTGGAAGAATTAAATGTCTTAAGATTAGGTGGCAGATTGTTGAAAATGGAGCAATTCTTACATAGAAGAATTTTTCCAACAGAGGAGTAAAGCGTGGTATAACAATTTGCAGGTTCTTTACAGATCTCGAAAAATTAGAAAGATCCAAAAGAGTAGAAGATGTCCTCAATTTAAAATGTTTGTAGAAGAATGCTATTTTGACTCGCCTCTTCGTGACAACTTTGTGTTTTGTAGATCATCTCGAAATCCTCAATTGTTGTGTCCAAGGTGTTCGTCCTCCATTGGTGAGAGATCCTTTGTGGTTAGGGCGGTGAGATTGTGGAATCAGCATCCTTTGGCCTTACGTACTTTTGCCTATACCATTTGTCTGTTTAGGTTTAAAGTAATTGAGTACCTTCGCCTAAATATGTAGGTTATGTTTTTTTAGTGGTTGCGTCGTTTTATTATGGGTTTTTCTTTTTGTTTGTTTTTCTTTTTGTTGGGCTGGGGAGCCACTATATTGTCTTCTTAATTTTATTTGTAGGGTGTTATAATGTGAGTTGCTATTTATACTATGTTTAGTGAGTAATAAAATAGTTCTCTCTTATTTTTAGCTCGTTCTGCTACACTTTTTCACTGCTCTACTGGACTATTGTTTAGTTGGTGATGGTGAAACGAGGTGTAGGGTTCGAGTTTCTCGTGAATTATTAAGATAAATTATTAGGTTTAAATTGTATGGGCCCTGTGGGCTTATTTATATTTCATTGTAAGGTAAATAAATGAAATGAAATTAAATTCACAAAACACTCAAACGAACAACCGAGAAACTCCTTCACAGAAGGAGATATATGATCACGACGTTTGACACGAAAAACATATCACCCTATGAAGCAATAGTTTTAACTTACGAAAAACAAAACCGCAGCTACCCCCAAAAATCTCAATACAATATAAAAAGTGAGGCATTATTAAGGCATGTAACAACTTAATTCTAATCTTCTTAGGCAAAACTATATCCAAACAGTACAACTTCTTTAAAATAAAGTTAACTTTGGACACTAAAGAATTCACATGCACATTAAACACCAATCCAGAATCAAGAAACAAACCAAGACATTTCATCGAGCTTACAACATTTATAGGGGTCCTATAAATGGAAACATTAATTGAATCCTCTTGCAAGTTCCAAAAAAAACATAACTTAAGATTTTTGAGTATTTATTGAGAGACCGTTACAGCACAAACAAGTTACCAACATATTTATATTAAAATCAATTGATGACTGCAACGCATCCGTGAACACATATTTTCCTTTAAACATTAACATACATAGCGAACAATAGAGGGCCAAGAACAGATCCCTGTGGCACACCACTACTCACTGGAAGAAGATTGGAAGCAACATTTTTACCACATACTGTTTTCTCCCGAACAAGTAAGAAAACATTAACTTACAAGCCGAGGACGAAAAATTGAAGAGACGATGTAACTTACTAATTAAATTGGCATGAATAATCCTGTCAAAAACCTTCTCCAAATCAAGTGATAATAAAACACAGCAATCACCAGCACTGACAGAATTTCCTATATTATCAGTCAATCCAACCAGAAGAGATGTTGTGCTACGATTACTTCTAAATCCATGTTGACTCGGGTGCAATAGTGAATGCTCATTTATATATTCTAACATTTGATCTTTCAATAAATATTCAACCATTTTAGAAAGAATTGACATTATTGATATGATCAGTCTAAGGGTATTATTAAGTTATGACCTGAGACTAGCACTTCACAATGTTCAATTTTTTTTAAATGTCCTCACTTCTCAACACTCTTATTATAATGCATCTGTACTTAAAGCCTAGACTAAATACTTAAAGCATAGACACGAATAATCTAGTACATAATAATATATAATATAATATATAATAATATAAGACAGAATAGAAGATTTCCTTTTCTACTTTGAGGGACCTCACATTTCTCAAACAAATAATGCGTCCGCGTACCTTTAATATATGTTAGGTTAGAGGATTACCGTTTTGCCCATTGTGATCATCCTAATTTAGAGAGAAAGGAAAATGAAGTAGAGAGGTAGTGTAAGTAAAATGTTTGTATAGAAATGAAGAGATTATCGTGACGTCTTTAGCCATTTAAGTCTTCTGGCTAGCTGTAGAATTACCGTTGGCTCAGTTTCGGCAAGTCATGCTCCGCAGTTTCTATCTCCTCTTCGTCTTGACAAAGCCCACAATATACCCCTCCACCTCCTTTCTCAGATCATCGGTCAAGTTTTCTTGGATGCTTACAACCCCTTACATTTAGCCAGATATGGTCTAAATATATATATATATATATATATATATATATATATATATATATATATATATATATATATATATATATATATATATATATATATATATATATATATATATATATATATATATATATATATATATATATATATATATATATATATATATATATATATATATATATATATATATATATATATATATATATATATATATATATATATATATATATATATATATATATATATATATATATATATATATATATATATATACTATATGTCAAGAGAATAATTATAACTTCATTTTTCTATTTCAGATTACGTGAAGTGTCGGACAAGGTTAATAAATTCGGTTTTGGAACGCATCGAGTTTTTGAGCAACTCAAAATACCGGTTAAAGATGTTGTAATTGGGCCTAATCACATCGGTGTTTTGCTGGAAGATGGAAAAGCATTTCGTGTCGCTTTCTCAATTAATACCGATCGTTTGGACCTAAGCAAAAATGATTCGGCAAAAAGGTATATAATATAATTATACAATTAAAACACCATTGCTACAGCTAAAATGAGGTATGAGTGTTAATTAAATTTGTCAATCTGCTTGTATCTCATCTAAATAACCCTTTAACACTCCATAAAAGCGTGTATATTATATTATATTGAATGAAATTGAAAGAAATCAACGCCAAAACTACAAGGTGAATGAAGAATTCTTCATAACTACTACTACATACGTCAGAGAGTTTAACCTTCTCGTGCTATATATTGCGTAAATGTTGAGAAATTTCATTAACGCAGCGTTCAATTTCATCTTTTAATACTTGAGTCGTCGTCATCTTATTCGTCTTCCAAAACATCAAAGATAAATATCTAAATGTGTTAAATCGAAAGACCTAGGCGGCCAATTCCTGTCTCCAAAACACGAAACAACACAACCAGGAAATTACTGATGCGGCGATTGAATTGTTTCTCCGGCTCTGTGACGTGTGGCGCCGTCTTGTTTAAACCACTAGTCCTCCACACTTATTTCTTTAATTCTAGGCAAGAAAAAACAGGTTATCATTTGGTGCGACTGTTTACGCTTGACGACCTGCCTCATTTTTTAAATAGGTCCAAAGATTCCTGCAGCCATAAAACCACACTGCACAGTGATATGTTGAGGATACAAGATCAAAATGGGGTGCCCTTCCTTTTATAGACCAATAAGTTATCATTAAGGTTATCATTTGTTGCGACTGTTTACGCTTGACGACCTGCCTCATTTTTTAAATAGGTCCAATGATTCCTGCAGCCATAAAACCACACTGCACAGTGATATGTTGAGGATACAAGATCAAAATGGGGTGCCCTTCCTTTTATAGACCAATAAGTTTATTATCGTCTCGGGATAAAATATAAGAATCCACCAAAAGATAAAATACTGTAACTAATTAATAAAAATGAAATTCTACCTTGTTAAGAGTTTAAATAAATAATAATAATTATAATATTAGTTCCCCTATAGGGATAAGGCTAATTATGTACTGGCTTTAAAACCGTGATTGTATGCGACACGTCCACTAGCAACATTTATTGCTGTTACCAACAAAATCCATATGACTCTTTTTACGTACCGATGTAAGGAGAGAATTGAATATACAAGTAGATGGAAGAACAGTTCCTACCATACAACACCCAAAGATACTTGTTGTTGCATTCAATATTCTCTATATTTTCACACCAAGTTCAGATCAGACACAAAGCCCTCACTGGGTCACATGGGACAAAGAGAAAAAAACAATCCTGGCAATTGGGTAGGTTTGGCAGGACAGTTGAAAAGATGCAGCGTATTGTGCGGGCCTGTGTCGCACCCTGGGCAGACGTTCCTCACATCTTTATCAATTCGTGCCCAATGAGAATTGTGACGGCTGCACCACCCTAAACGTAGTTGGGTCAAAACTACTCTGGTTGTCCTAGGCAGCCGGCGTTCTTCAGCTGCAATAGATAGGGGTGGACTCCGAGGATGTCATTCATACTGTAATGGTTAACTACATCAGCGACTGCATCAGTATGAATGCTATTCAGACCCGCTTGATATGCTTCCTCTCTCTCTAGATCATACAGGTTCTGACACGCCTGGGTGGGGAGTTCTGTCCGCCATATAACTGTTAGAATGAAACCCAAGATAACACCCAAGCAGTTACTGTAACAAAAGCATATGATTATGTTAATGTAAGGGAAGAACCTTCATCTCCTCGTGTAAATGGGTCACAGTAGTCATGAGGAGGCAACCAGTTGCAGTTCTGAAGGCGATATTCTGTCAGGTCTGAATACTTTACCACTGCGTTGCATCCGTGTTCGCAGACCACAGACCGACCTTTCGCTTTATAAGAGGTCAAAAAAGTTAGCTTTTTCCGCGTCCCAAGTGCTGCCGGCTAGCGCCTTTATGACCTTGTTCCTAATTTTCAATTTATCGTAGATAGCTGTGACTTGCTGTCGAATGTGACCCCAAGGATTTTGAGGGTAGTTAGTGGTTGGCATTATGTGCCCCTCGACCTGTACATTCAACTGTGTTCTCATCTCCGCAGTCCATGCGGTAAATAGTGTGGCCTTTGATTTAGTGGTGGGGATTTTCGTATTCCTCGCATGGAATAAAGGTAGCTGTTCACCCTGATACATTTATCATCAACGACAGGGTCCGATGCCATGGTCGTACAGTCATCATATGGAAAGGTAGGGGTTAAACAGTTCCGAAGATATCGCTACGTTTCACTCTACGAGGAATGGACTTCTTGTTCCGCAATACTAGGTTCCGGCGACGTCCTCGGACAGGTGGAATGATTGATCTTTAAAATGCCTTTGATAAGTCAAGAGCTACAACTACTGTTCTATGGCACGACCTGTTCAGGCTGAGTCCTCGACAGTTGTGGAACTATGTTGTGGACGGAAACCGTGTTGATGGTTAGCAACTGGATAACTTTCTCTGTCGCTGGGGAGGAGCAAAGCTCGAGCGTCTTTGCTACTGGGCATATACGATTGGTCTGTATGATTCCCCTCTGTGGTATCCACCCTGCCCATTTTTCAGGCTTCGGGAACTATGTGGGTGGCTATCAACAGGTTGAGGGCTTTAGTGAGATACTCAACTCCCGGTTTAACCAACTGCTTCAACATTACCGTTGATATTCCGTCTGGGCCCAACGCTTTGGATGGCTTAGCGTTTTGGATGATTTTCGCAAAATCGTGGTGGTACCTCCTCGGCGGAAAGAAATCTTATGCGACGTAGTACTCTTCGCTTCGCCCTATCATTCTCAAAGTGCTCAATAAATTGGCGTCACCGTTACAATCCCACGGCAGCGGGTTCTACGACACCGAAATGTTGTTTTATTTTCTTGTTTTGGGAGCAGCACATACCGGAATGCTTGCTCCGGATTCTATTGGTCCGTGCCGAGATTAAAGAAAACCACGGACCATGGTTTTGTATACGTCGTCAGAGTATGGAACTCCCCCGCAGTCTAATGAACAGCAACTATTACCACAGCACATAGACACGACCACACTATTTCCTATTTCTGCACGGTTAAAACAATCAACAAAATTCAAGCCGTCGTCAATGATCATACCCCAGAATCAATTCGATCAAAATCGAAACCTACAAGTCATTTGAAAATAGATCAAATAGGCAGATAAGATATTCTGTGGCAAAACTTCAGAGAATAAATCATATTTCTCAAAATAAGTCCGAGTATGGTCAAGAAGCTACCCTGCTACCATTCGTAGAAAGAAACGTAGCAGGGTTTAGGGGTTTATTGATACAAACATATAAAAGGTTTAAAAGGTATTATTCCCGTAGATAAACCGGTCAATGTGAAGTCTATTCATGGCTTCACGGCAATTATAGATAAATGTACAATGAATATTTTTCAAATTAATAATCCATTTTTTATCTTACCATCACTCTCCACGTTTGATGGTATCATTGGCCTCGATCACATAACATAATGCAACTTTGAATTTCGAAAAAACGGAACTTAAAACTTCAGCTGGCATCGAAAAGATCCAATTTTTAAAATGTGCTAATGTAAATTTTACACAAGTTGAGGACACTCAAGTACCTCAAGTCATCGCGGAAAAATTTAAGGAAATCATAAAAAAATACTGATAATCCTGTTTATACAAAGATATACCCATATTCCATGTGTGTTTTTTTAATAATGAAGTTAAAAAATTTTTTGAAAAATTGAATAAGACCTGTTAGATCGATCTACAACAATCCCGATTGGGTTGTTGATAAAAGAGTAAGGATAAATACGATAATATTATAAAACGATTAGTTATGAACTTTAGGAAACTGAACGCCATAAGAGTCGAAGACAACTACCCAATACCCCAGATACCCGTTATTCTCCCAAATTTTGGTAAAGCGAGATTTTTTACGACGCTTGATCTCAGATCAGGCCTTCATCAGGTACAAAATGAAACTGATGGACACTAACTTGTACGTTCTGCCTATAATGTACCTGAAACGGAAAATCATTTAATATTAGAGTGCAATGAATTCTGTCACCTAAGGTCTAACTTTAAAATTTCCAATGATTTTACCAACTTATCTGATTTACTTAATTATCAGACAAAACCCGTCGTCAAGGACTCTGTAAATTCATCTGCTCAGCCAAAATTTAATTGTAAACACAACATGACGTCACTTACTTCTACTCATAACAAAATCATGAATTTGGACATTCACCATGCAGAACCAGTTCAATTATTTTTTTACTTAAGTATTCACTAAAAATGTAAACAGAATTAGTCTTGGTATATAGGTACTACGGGTATGGATAAAACTTTTTATTAATAAACCAAAAAAAATCGGCATTCTCAGTCGGAAATGGGAAGTATGATTTCTGCCGCCTTCCTTTTGGCCTGAAGAATGCCCCCAACATTTTTCAAAGGGCTATAGGTGATGTCTTGAGGGAACAAATTGGGAAATCATGCTATGTTTATGTCGGCGAAGTCATAATTATACACGGCTAATATGAGAATTTCTTGGGAAAAATAACAAAATGTCGAATGCCTCGACTTTTTTGTTGTGTCTAGAAATGGCATCAAAACGAGCACAGAAAGAGTGGAGGCCAAACTTAATTATGAAACACCTACACTATTTAATATAAGTTCGTTTTTAGGATTACCGAGCTATTACAGGTGTTTTATTAAAGATTTCGCGTCCATAGCTAGGCCTTTAACAGATATTCCTAAGAGTGAAAACGAAAAGATTAATGATTCCCAATCAAAAAGATTGAAAATAAATCTCAATGAGTAGCAACTCCAGACGTTTCAAAAGTTAAAAGAATTGCTTCAGAAGACGTGATTCTCCTTTATCCCGATTGTAAATTTGAACTAACAACGGATGCCTCATCATTGGGTCTGAGTGCAGTTCTGTCACAAGGTGGGAGGCCAATTACTATGATTTCCCAAACTCTCAAAGATGAAGAACTGAACTGATTGTTTGGGCTCTTCAAACATTGAGTAACTATTTACACCAAGTACTAAATTTAAATATTTACATCCGAATGCTAAAATAAAATTATTTGGACTTTCAAAGCTGCCGAAATGGCAGAGTTGACAAGGACACGAAATCTCTCTGCGTTTGTTGGCATTATAATAAGTTGGGTAAAGTTCGCTTGTACTCATTAAAAACTAAAACGAAATCACTACTGGAGTAATCAGGAAATCACTTTTCTAAAGAAAAATGTAGAATGTATGTATTTTTTGTATATATTTTTTAAAATTATATATATATATATATATATATATATATATATATATATATATATATATATATATATATATATATATACTGATCAATACTGATCATATCAATTTATAATTTTATAAATTTGTAATACCTTTCTTTGTAATATGTTGAATGGTACTCAATAACTGTTGAATTTTTTTTAGCGGAAACAATTCTAGCGCTTCATCCAATTCTAAGACGTCTGCCCCAGCATCATCCAGACAGCTAGCTCGTTCTAGGGCCCGATTAATGCGCACTACTGGGCGATCTGGTTCAGGTGGACAGAGCTCAGGATCAAGAAGTACTGGAGTAATTATAGGTGGTACTTCCTCTAGTCGATCGCTTGTAACTGTTCCAGCGACTTATGTACCCGAGGAACTAATCTCACAAGCAGAAGTTGTCCTTCAAGGAAAGAGCAGAAATTTAATTATTAGAGAACTACAGGTTTGCTTTGTATATGTTATGTATCACATCTTTTTAACAAGCTTAGTTTGGAACAGCGTACCAACCTTGATGTTAATTTGGCCGTTAATAATTTACTCTCGAGAGACGATGAGGACGCAGAAGACACAGAAGAAGGAGGCGATAATTACGTTCCAGACGATTTAATGTCGCTTCTTGATAACGGTTTTCACGGAGAAAACAATAGCGTTATTATTGACCCATCTGATGGTCTTTTCACAGAAGAAATTTTTAGCAACTACTCAAGTATAAGAAAGTAAGTTAGTGATACCAAATTATTACCATGTCTTATTTCAAAAATATGTTTGTATATATACAGTGAAATCGTGATGTTTCGTACACTGAGGGTACATGAACCATGTAAAGTTATTCGAACTCTTGCAATCTTGAGTGCTTTTTATAGCCCATAGCGCATTGTGGTGTTGTATTCGTTAATTTATATATATCTGCCTGTCTGTAAGTCACTCGGAGACCTGCTAATCCATTATTTTCATCCTAAATGAAGAAAGTGGTGTAAAGAAAGATTGAGGGAAAGGGTGAAGATATTATTGATAGGAAATAGAGTTATAAGGGTAACACACGGCTAGAAGTTTTGCCGTGTCGTCTTTAGCCACTTAAGTCTTCTGGCTAATTAAAGAATTACTGTAGGGTCAATGTTAGAGAACGAAGACAAACCATGAGACACTTGTTCCCCCAACAACCTGTGTCTCAAGTTAAGGAGTGCTACACAGTGGCAGGGCAAATTTTCGATCGTCGTCATTTTTTCCTCGTCTTTACAGATTCTACAGTAATTAATGTCATCACTGTTCCATTTCGAGGTCATTGCCCTCACCTGCTGTGACCTGTGATGATACTCACCACTAGTTTTAAATTAGGTTTCGGCAAGGACATTGGCGACTTTGTTCTCTTCTCAGAGAGTATAGGCCAAATTCTTTTAGAGATGCTACATCCCCTTTCGTCCAGCCGTTTTTGTTGAAATCTCTCAGAGTAGTGTCTATGAATTACCTGAAAAAAGTGGCACAGCGATGGTTTGGTTTCTCAACTCCAATAATAGCTGATTCGGAGTCTAGCCTAGCCAATTCGTCTAACCAGTTCGTCCCTAAGATCGCAGAATGTCCAAAGGATTGACTGCACCATTGGTTAAGTTCTTTGAGTCGAAAATCACACTTAATTGTCTGTTCTTCTACGTGTATGCTTAGTGAGTTTAAGCTCAGGGTGTCCAGCGCAGCTTGAGGTGTGCTCTTGAAGGCACCCGTTATTAGTAGGGATGCTGTTCTTTGACCTTTGTCAATATAACGTAAGAAGGATGACTTTATCAAGGACATTATGGGTGGTTTGAGGCCCCAAGTTTTACCTATAGGGTTCTTGCAGGATTAAAGTGCAGTGAAGCCTCTCTGCTCGTTCCTCGGCATTATTCTTCCAACTTAGTTGGCGGTCGAGGATAGTGCAGAGGTATTTGGCTTCATAGGAGAGGTTTAGCGTAACCATCTCATCTAGCATCGGTGGGCGATTTAAAAGGCGTGAATGTGTCTATAGCCCACCTAATTTTGGATATACTTACAATTCTATCGATCAAATTTGCTGAAAGCGTCAAGTTTCGTCAAGTCATTCAGGAAATGAAGGAATCATTAGCAGATTTTACTCTACGACTTAAGAAAACAGCTACGCATTGCGGAGTTTCGGACATAATGCTAACTGAACAGCTGCTTTATGGGTTGGAGTCAAAGAGCATATGTGACAAGATAATTGCAAAGAAGCCCGAAAATTGTAAAACTACGTACGAAATTGCTCAACGCCTGGAAGTGTCACATTTGACGTCACTGGAGATGAAATGTACAACCGGTGGCCCTGTTACTGCAACAGAACCCGTATTGAAGATACATTATAAGGACGCTAAAGCAAATAATGCTGCGAGATTCAGCACATCTAAGATAGATAATGCATTTCAAAACAAGTGTAAAGGGTGTGGTGGACACCACATCAGAGACCAGTGTAAATTACGCAATGTCAAGTGCTACCGATGTAATAAAACCGGTCACATTGCAAAAGTATGCAAATCGAGAACGTCACAAGTTTCAGAAGTGCTCATATTGAACGATAAAAGCAGGAACATCGTTCAACGGTTGAATCAAGTTGGTAATAAAAAGGTGAGCAATATACAGTTGCTCAGGGTACAAATAAAGGGTGGTGAGGTCAACATGGAGTTGCCCGATGCGACCTAATGAGTTTGGCTGTTCTGAAGTCGTGCACAAAAAAAATGTAAATTGCTACCATCCGATAGGAAATTTACAAGCTACACAGGCCATAGAATTCACTGTATTGGACGAGTGGTAGTTGATGTGAAAATAGACTCAACTACGCGAAAACTTAGCTTGTAAATAGTTGATGGGAACTTCGCTATTTGGCAGAGAATAGATTATAGAGTTCGTCAAAGAGATTGATTTTGTCTCAAGATACTTTTAAGTAATAAAAACATTAAGTACACAATTAAATTTATATTTTTTATTTTTTTATTCAAAATAATTAGCAAATTTTAATGGTTTCTCAATTGACGAAGGCGGCAATTGTTAACAAAGTGTTGCCAAGTCACTTTTTTCGTCAAACAAAAAATAATTCAAATGTGAAAACCAAACAATGTGGTATTAGGAATAATAAACTGAAGCAAAGAGAAAAAACAAAACAAAAACAACACACAAAAAAGAATTTTGTACAAAAATTTATCTTAAAATATGTGAAATATGTATTGTGGAATGCTGTTTAATCAATTAATCATTAATTAATATTTTAGGAGCAGGCACAGGAATTCGGTCCGAAGCATCTCTTAAATTCCTCCGGTGTATTTTTTCAGTACTGTGTTCATTAATTTGCGCATCAATTACAGAAACAATCGAAACTCACGGCGTTGCGTAAAAAAATGAAACGAACTTTCTTTTTGCACAAAAAACTCTCATTAACATAATATTTTTCACAATTTAATAATATATTCTATTGCCTTGCACTGTCCTCCGAGTAAATGGGTTTGTCCGTTTATCATATTGTCATTGAACTCCTCATTAAGATCAAATGAATGTTCTCATAATATAATACAAGTAATTCGCAAGAAACAATTGCAAAAAATATTATTGAGACTTTCTGTCCCTTTTTTTATCGAACGCGAATAAATTGCAAACTCTAGCTTCATAACAAAATTCAGCTTTGCGGAAATTTCTGTACTTTCAAATGTCTGGACTAACATTGATTAATGATGGGGTTACGCCTTTTACGTTTAATGAAAATGTCAGAATGCTGTTACGTGTTTTGATATTACAATCTTGGACATACAGGGTGAGATAAAAAACTGCAATAAAGTCAAACGCCATAATTTTTACATTTTTTTAAATTTTGTTGAATGAATGCAAAAAATGTCGGAAATAGCATCAGATTTGTTCGAATTGGTCACCTTTGGTACGAATTATGGCCTTCAAACGGCCAATGAAAACGTCACACGCTGTCCGAATGGTATTTTTTATTACCAACCTTGCTTTCCAAAATACTCCAGACACAACAGTCCAACGGATTGACATCCGGAGAAATGAAAATGAAGCCAGGAACCTCATTTTGTTACTATTCTTGGATGATGCGTGTGTTAAGTGCGATGATGGCTTTAATACACCCTCCAGAATATTTTCGCGATAATATTCGGTATTTATTCTGATGCCACGGTAGATTAATACGAGCGGGGAGCGACCATCGGCTGTTATGGCGGCCCACACCATCACCATGGCCGGCGCTTGAGTTCTGATGGTCAACTGAAGGTGCACATTTTCAGCTGTTTGTTTACAAACTGCTGGAAAACGAATGTTTTCTCATTGGATAAAACCAAATTCGGCAGTTCACCACTTTCGGCCAAGCAACTCTTTAGCTCTTTTGAGTCTATTTTCTTTCTGTTGTGGTGTAAGTTCTTGCACTTTTTGAAATATCATTGGCTTTACCCCGAGCTCATTTTTCAAAATTTGCCGAATGGAATATTCACGAGGCATTTTCGGCCACTTCGACGCGGGTTTTGATCAAGTAGGTTCTTTACTTTTCGAACCATTTCTGCTGATGTTGCTGTTTTCTTCTGTCCACTTCCTTGACGTCGGGCTACGCTACCAGTATCACGGTAACGAGCGAGGGTACGAGACACAAACGGTTTATTCACATTTAAATGCTGGAGTGCTCTAAGGATAGCCACTTGTAATTTTCCCAGCCAAATATAAAGAAATCACACTATCACGATTGAATTCCATCACGAATAACTTTTTTTGTGGAAAATTCTCACCCGAATGCTTTTGTACGCTTGTAAACAATATAATGAGCTGTCACTGGAATAATTTTAACAGCTGTCGGACGCGTGGCTAGAAATTACAGCAGTCTGAAGTCTGTTGCAGTTTTTTCATTTCACCCTGTACATTAAAATATCGTATTTTAAATTTGGTTAAATAAAAAAAATGAGGGGTATAAATAAAATGATTCTTTTTATGCGGCACCATAACATATGTAAATACATAATTTACTAATTCTTTTTTCTAGTTTGTTGTTTGATCGCATTCGAAGCGAACGAAATCAGTCTAATACAAATTCGGAGACTAGCCAGTCAAGATCCTCTGGTGCAGCAAGCGGTGTTTTGACCGGCACTGGTAGTTTATCAGCACAAATATCTACAGTAAGTGCCGAAAGGGAAGCCTTCAGTCGTTGGCGTGATCGCCAATGTTATGTTCCAAGGAGATGGTTGAATAAAGAGGATTACGTGTGGGACAAAGATGGCGGTACGAAATTAATTTATGAATAAAATATAATTAAGTTACACGCTACTTATTCCTACAGATGCCAAAAAGAAAGATCCAACATCAATAAGCTCTCCCATTTGGATTTCGGAAGAACTTCAGCCATGGCCAGACAAGAACGGCACAATAAAATTTAAAAAAATTGCCGCTCTATACTCGGAATTTATAGCGATTTCGGAAGCTGGTGAACTACATTTATGGAGATGGACAGATACCGATCCATACAAATCAGAGGTATGTATATAAAATTTATGCTTTGGATATATAAATTCGTATAAACGAATCACAATTAAGCAAAAGTTTTGAATTGCTCATGAAAAATGTGATCTACGATTAATCAATGATAAAAATATTAATGTGAACCATAGTAGAGCAAATAAGAAGACTCAATCGCACGTGTATAAGACAACGCTGAGCAAGAATGAGTTCTATCGCATTTCGCCAATTTCTCTTAGTTTTTGTTAAGCAATCGACCAATTCGGGTCGTATCCATGTAAATATTCGGCCATCATGCGTAACGAGGCAATTCAAACAGGTAGTCGCATCAGCAATTTGTTACAACGAAAAACTGTATTGAGAGAATTGAACGTGAACATTTATTACCTTGCAGAAATAAATATAAATTACGTTTTTTTTTTACAAAATTCGTTCATTGACTGTTTGTTTAAATTACAACTTTATTGAAATAAAAAAAAAAAAACAAGTAAGCAAAGGCTATAATCGTGCGGGGCCGACCATGTGATACCCTACAACACTACAATATGTTAGAAGCCCCTTTATGTCCAAAGAATTCGCTTTTGAAAATATGTCACGGAGCACTGCCTTAGCATTTTGACCAGGGTCATTTGCTCAATATTTACGCACTCCGTCGTGCCGTTAGTTGTTGTGGTCCATTTTACAGCAAAATATAATCCAATGGTCATCCTAAATGCTAGAATTCTTCCCTGCTCTTAACTCTCTTTTCAGGCGTGTCGATTGGATTCAATTGTATGATCTGGATTTTTTTTTGGTTTATTTAAACCCCAAAATATTTTGCAATCATCTCATCACTTCAATATTATAAGTTAAATTAAAAAAATCGCATGCGATAAAAAATATTAAAAAATAAAAAATTGTCACAAAATACTATAAAATGTACATTAACATCATTATTGGCATATTTTTATGCGATTTTTTTAGATTTTATACTTTTATGCCAAGATGGCATTCTGAATTTGTAAAAATCGGTCCAGCCTTCTTGAGATATAAACATTCTAGCTAGCATCCCTTTCCTTTGTATATACACATTATATATATTTCGCAATATATATCCGATATATTTACTATCGGCATCTACGTGATGGTCAGAATTGTCCTGTTCGTCGATTTGTGATTTCGCCGGGATTAAAAATATTCGCGGTTTAATGGAAAATTTGGCTTTTATTTAACACAAATATTATGGTCTGTTTCACCCACTACATATTACCCGATGACCATCAAAATAGGAAGTCATCTGCCCAGCCCTATGCACTAACCCCATGCTAACTTCCGCGTCGATTGGTCTATAATTGCAACTGAAAAATCAGAAAATATTTCATTTTTTGGTCCATTTCAACCCCTAAATATTATGTGATCATTTCAGCAATTAGGGTTCTATTCTGACCCTAACTCCACCTCCATTTTCAAGTTCATGATGATCGGTTCATAATTGCGACCTGTAGCTTGATTACAAATTAACATGGACAGACGGACGGACATACATGGCTAGATCGACTCAGCTCGGCGAGATAGGATGATCCATATATACTTTCCTATGTGGGAAACGAATATTTCGAGGTGTTACATAATTTTTGGCCCAATCAAACTTATGATACCTCCAACACATAGTTTTGTAGGGTATAAAAAATGTAAGCATCTCCTAGGTACCGGCAGGTCAAAATAAAAATTAATAACGCTTTTTCAAGACTCTCCCCCTGGTACCACTGAGCTGTCCACGACTGCTTATTTAATTCGCAGCTGTCCAATATATCTATTGGGCGTTCCATCATCCGCAACCTGTGGACGCGTCCGGTAGCATTCAGCACCCTAAACTCCGGAACTACTTACTATATGTCGATTTCAGACGGCCCTTAAAGCTATCAAGTGGTGTTAAATCGAGAGCCATTATTGACTGCATGAGAGCTCCCCCTGTTGTTGTTGTAACAGTGATAACGTGCTCTGTTGTTTATAGACTAATTAATCCGGTTCCTTTTCGATGTCCAGACTTAGGAATTCTGCTATCTTTATAGGAGTTGGGTCGGCTTGGCTGGACAATTAAACAGATGCAGCGTATTGTGCGGGCCTGTATCGCACGCTCGCAGGCGTTCCGCACATGTTTGTTAATTTGTGCCCAGCATGAATTGAGACGGTTGCACCATCCTGAACGTAGTTAGGCCAAAACTACACTGCTTTGTCTAGGCAGCCGACCTTCTTCAGCTGCAATGGATGGGGGTGGACTCCGAGGATGGTATTCATATTGACATCGGCGACTGCATTAGTATGAGTGCTATTCAGAGCCTCTTGATAGGCTTCATGATCTCTCCCTCTTACCTCTCTCTCTAGATCATGCAGGTCCTTCCTGACACGCCTGGATGGGGGAGTTCTGTCCACCATATGACTCCCACGATAACACCCAAGCAGGTACTGCAACGAAAGCATATTACTATGCTGGCGTAAGGGAAGAACCTTCGTCTCCTCATGTAAATGATCTACAGGAGTCATGGGGAGGCACCCTATTGCAGTTCTCAGGATGGCATTCTGGTAGGTCTGAATACTTTTCCACTACGTTGCATTCGTTTTCGCTTTATAAGAGGTCAACAAGGTTTCCTTATCCGCACCCCAAGTGCTGCCCGCTAACGCCTTGAGGACCTTATTCCTACTTTTCAAGTTATCGCAGATAGCTGTGGTTTGCGCGGAAGACTTGAACATGCTATCGAATGTGACCCCAAGTATTTTGGGGTAGTTAGTGGTCGGTATTATGTGCCCCTCGACCTGCACATTCAGCTGTGTTCTTATCTCCGCAGCGCATATGGTAAATAGTGTGGCCTGGCCATTGATTTAGCGAAGCCCCTCCCTTATTAGCTTTTGTTGTGTTCCAAGACATAGCAACATAGTGGGAAATGAAGTGGCTGTTTAGTTGTTGTTGTTGTAGCAGTAGTGCATGCATGTGTTTGCGTTCTGCTAATCTGGTTCCAGCTCCAGGTTTAAAAATTCGGCTACTTTAATGGGCTGTAGCCAGAGATCTTCTGGAGTGAGTTGGGTAGGATTGGCTGTGCAATTAAAAAGGTGTAGCGTATTGTGCGGGCCTGTATCGCACGCCGGGCAGGCGACACCCATATCTTCATCAATTTGTGCCCAATACGAATTGAGACGACTACACCATCCTGAACGTAATTGCGCCAAAACTGCCCTGGTTTGTCTAGGCAGCTGACTTTCTTCAGCTGCAATGTATGGGGGTGGACTCCGGGGACGGCATTCACTTTATAACTGCTAATAGCATCCGCGACTGCATTGGTATGAATGCCACTCAGACCTGCCTGTTAGGCTTCTTGATCTAGGGGTTCTCTCTTGTAGCGCTGGACCTCCCTCTCTAGATCATGTATGTCCTTCCTGACACGCCTGGGTGGGGGAGATTTATCCACCATATGATGGTTGGTATGACTCACGGTAACACCCAATCAACGAAAGCATATGATTATGCTGACTTAAGGGAAGGACTTTCGTCTCCTCATGTAGATGGTCGACTGGTGTCATGAGAAGGAACCCTGTAGCAGTTCTCAGGGCAGCGTTCTGGCAGGTCTGGATATGCTTCCACTGCGTAGCACTAGTATTCGCAGACCACACTGGAGCCGCATAGCTACCACAGACCGACCTATCGCGTTATAAGAGGTCAACAAGGTTTCTTTGTCCGCACCCCAAGAGCTGCCGCTAGCGCCTTGAGGACCTTGTTCCTACTTTTCATCTTGTCGCAGATAGCTTGCACGGACGACTTGAACATGAGGTCGAACGTGACCCCAAGAATCTTGGGGTAGTTCGTGGTCGGTATTAGATTCCACTCGACCTGAACATTCAGCTGTGTTCTCCGCAGACCATGCGGTAAAGAGTGTGGCCGTTGATTTCGTTGCGAATATTTTCATATTCCTCGCGTGGAAGTATGCGGCAAGCTCCGCGAGATAGGGATTCAGCATTTCGCCCATTTTCCAGGTTTCGGCACTATGTGGGTGACTAGCGACAAATTGAGAACTTTCGTTAAGTACTCAACTCCCGGCGTATCCAGCTGCTTCAACATTACCATTGAGATTCCGTCCGGGCCCAACGCTTAGGATTAGCGTTACGGATGGCATTTGCAACATCACCCATCGTAAACTGTGGTGGTTCCTCCTCGGCGGGAAGAGATCTTATACGACAAAGAATACTCTTCGCTTCGCCCTATCGCTCCCGGGGTGTTCGACAAATTGTCGTTTAGAATACTCCGCGCACCTCTTCGGATCAGTCACCGTTACGTCGTTAAAATTGACTGAGGTCCTATCATCCTTTTTTCCAGTGTTCGAGAGCGACTTAACCGTTACCCACAGCTTACTCATATCGGTTCCAATGTTGAAACATTTCAGATGGTCTAGCCACTTTTTCCTCTTATACTCCTTTACCAACCGGTTGACTTGGACTGTCAAATCACTGATTCTAGGATCAGTAGGGTTGGTACGACGGAGATCATCACGCTCGTTTGCTAATCCCGCTGCCTCTTCTGGGAAGTTTGGTTTATCTCGGGTATTGGACCACCAGGTATATAGCGAGCGGCTGCGGCTTTGATTTCTGCTACCCGAACATCAGAAGGGTTGGGCAGTTCTCTGAAGCGGCGGTTTGTGAATTCTCTAAACTCTGGTCAGTGAGCTTTCCCATGGTTAAGGAAAGTGCGGCGTTCAGAGGTTAAGAAATCGGGCGACCTGCTTATGGAGACGATTATCGGGAGATGGTCTGAGCCAAGAGAAATGACGGGTTGTCACGTCATTATCAGACCGGGTGACACTATTGTCAAGTCTGGCGAACTGTGACACTCTCCTCTTATCTATTTGCTGTTTGTTGTGTTTGCGTGTGTGTGACCAAAATTTTGTAAGTTTCTGTTGTCCTAATAGTGTATGTCTTTTTGGTGTTTCGATATTGTGTTTCTTCTTTTTAAGATAACAATCAACGTAAAGACGACTAGAGATAGATACATAGATATCTGACCCCTCCAAGTTTTCTGTGGAGAAGCTCAGCAGAATTTTATAGAGAAAAGCGCAGCGGCCCAGAAAAGTCCGTGGTTGAGACTAAGCCCCGGTACGCCAAAGTGCTGATATCCAAAGAGTGGTCGGCTCGGTAGGTCTGATGTCGAAAGAGTCAGCTTCTGGAAAGTAAAGAGAATACATAAGTATATAATCACCAGGTAACAATTTGAATTAGGGAGGGAGTAGTAGCTTAAAGTGGCCAGATTGGCACACATTTTTCGTTCTCTTCGTATACTGTAGTATACTGTAGTCCTGACGGAGCATTCCCTGATGTGTGAATTGATGATTCTGCTTCTGAGCATGACATCAAACCACTCGATGAGGAGTAGTTTTGAAAGAGAGTTATGAATGACCTTCAGTGTGACATTTTTAAATGTGCCCGCAATGTCGAGAAAGGTTGCCAAAGTGAAAAAAGATCCATTCAAGTCTTATCTCGATGTGACCAACGACGTCATGTTGCGCCGGATTGAGGTCGGGGGTAGTAGAGATATAAACGGATTGAAGTCGGGGGTAGTAGAGATAAACCATCCCGCTAAATATATTTCTCTCTACAATACCTTCTTTTTTTGATCACTTCGATCTCTATTCTATCACCAACAACTTTATTATACCCTCCACCATAGTATGGAGGGTATTTTAAGTTTGTCATTCCGTTCGTAACACCTCGAAATATACATTTTAGACCCCACAAGGTATATATTTTGATCAGCATAAAATTCTATGTCGATTTAGCTTTGTGCGTCCGTCTGTGAAAATCACTCTAGCTTCCGAACGAATTAAAGTAGATTGATAACATTTTACTCAAATGTATGTTATGTCTGCAGGACTTGTATTGAAAATGGCTGATGTTAGTCAACGTTTTGGTATAGACCCCATATAACGGTACCTCCCGATATTCGGTATTTTAATCATTTTAGCGACATTATTCACCGGAATTGTTTCAAATTTGGTATTTGAAGTTCGTAATGGATACTACAGCCTAAGACAGAAAATTGTCTGTGCAGGTCCACGTCTTCGTATAGCCCCCATATAACGGTACATCCCGATATTCGGTATTTTGATGATTTTAGCTACACTATTATCGATTTTTTAAGTTTCGCATTTGAATATTGTGATGGCTTATGACAAATGTTACCGATGCAGGTCCATGTCGTCGTATAGACCCCAATATAGCAGCTACATTTGGTATTTTTAAGTTGTTAACAAAATTTTTAACGGATTTTATTGTTTTTGAGAATTGTCAAATTCGTTCCAAATCGTGAAGGGCCCGGCCGATCTTACAGTTTTTTTACTTGTTCTTCCTAGGATGGACACAATGGACCAAATGTGTCCGAGTGAAGCAGTTGGATACATATGAAAAACGACTTAAGTTCGACCGAGCTGAAGTTTTAATATTAATATTCGGAGTTGCCTTTGTATGGGGCTACCCGATATCGTGGACCGATATAGCCTTTTGAACTTGACCTGCCTTACGATAAAAGACAACTCTATATAAAATATAAGCTTGCTATCGCAAATCGTTTGGACCATATTGTGATTCCAACAGACTGACGGACATTAAATTAGCGGTAGTGTACCGGTACACTACCACTAAAAAATATTTTAGTGGCACTGTACCGGAACATAACGATAATCGTAGTGTACCGGAGACGGAGTACTAAAAAAACGTTGTATTCCGCAATCTGATCATTAAAAAATCGCAGTGTACCACATGCACCACATTAAAAAATCGAAATCATAAAACTGATTTTAAACACTCAGTCATACTTTGTAAAATATTTATTTTTTTAAACCTATATTCATTAATTTTATGGTACCACAAAATAACAGGTACAGGGTTGCCCATATTCGACGGACCTTTGACCATTCCAATCGACGAGGCTTGTCCGCAGGCAACATTCTTTGCGTCAATTGAATTTTGTACGGGAACAAATGCAAATCAATGCGAATAATCCGTTGTAAAGTGGACCGAGCTATGCCCAACTGCTGAGAACGGCGTTTTTGGGATGTTCTTGGGGACCTCTCAACACTGGCTCGTACGGCAGCGATATTCTCGGCCGATCGCCTTGGTCGACTTTTATATGGCCTCTTCGGTTTACCAGTCGAAACGCTTAATGGTGTTCTTAGAAGGCGCACTTCTCACATTTTTAATATTTTAAAAGCACGTTGAGTTTTCCCAGTGACTTCTTCTGTTGAATGTAAATTTCAGAGCGCTCGCGTGGCGTGTACTGGTTCATGGTAAAAATCTGCTTGGACTGACGCTTCAAACGCGGTATGTCATTAAGCGAGTGACATGTCTGTCAAAAGTTATGGCGTTGTCAGATGGGTCCGTCGAATATGGGCAACCCTGTAAATTATTTGCATAATAACCCATTACAATGCAACCACTAAAATACCCGAAAATAAAAAATTTCAATTTTCTATGGTTAAATACAAATTATTATCACTTCAGATTTGGTCCTTTTTTATTCCTTCTACCTAGTCCCATATGTTTCTACTTCCTTCAATTTCGCAATCAATTTAAACATTCTTGACTTACATGAGGTTATAGTTTAGGACAGAGCAGAAGCTTAGCATTTTGGAAAACATTTAGTAGGTAAACTGGGCACAACTTTTGTGTGGAATTATTTTAAAAACCTATAAGCACGATAGAGAGAATTTTTTGCAGGACTGTATGGCAAATCGACCAAAATTTTGCCAACATATTTTAATGTTATAGGGTATCACATCCACACGACTCTAGCCTTTGCTTTCTTGTTTTGTTTTAACGTTATTTTCAACAATTTTTAAATATGCTTGTTTTATTTTTAGGTTGAAAATATTTATCATCCAAAGACAATCGCCCTTAATTTGACAGAAAAAATTGAACATATTTCTGCCAACTTCATACGTTGCTCTGTAGTTACAGAAAATAATCGCGTTGCAACATGGATGGACGAACAACTGGGTTACATTGGAAATAAATTGGAGCATGGCGCAATTTTGTTCGGTGAATTCATAGTTGACCCAATTGTTTCCGTTAATGTTTGCTCTCTATACACCGCCGTCCGAACCGAAAATAATAATGTATACTGGTGGGGTGTATTACCATTTGATCAACGCCGGTATTTGTGGGATAAAAGCCGCACAAAGTTGAAAAAACCCTTTAAAAATCTTTCAACCGATATTTCTGTGGGAACTCAGGTAACTATGAAAAAGTGCCCTAAGTATCAAACCGGTTCTATTGGGTTTACCTGTGCCAACGGAGTGCCAAAAGTCGGACAGCTTCTAAATTCGGTGTGGGACTCAAATGATGTATGTAGATTCAAGATACTTAACGTTACAAGCGCTGGGGGCACTGACAAATTACAGCAAAACAGTTGTAACAGCTCTGGAACTTCATTGGAGAAAGAATCTACAAAGAGTGTCAGCATTCAAAACGTATCTTCTAATAAAAATTCTTCAAACAAAGAGACAACTGATAGGATAGACATGCCGCCTCCTCCGTCCCCTGCATCGAGTACATGTAGCGATACTGGCAGTGTTACGTCGCATAAACGTACAAAACGCATGGCTGCCAAAGATGACAATTCTGATGGAAAAAAAGATGAAGAACTTTGGCAATTGAAAGACGTTGTTTTTGTGGAGGACAAGATAGGTCCAATCGGTAAAGTTCTAAAAGTTGATGGAGACTTTGTAGCTGTGCGATTTCCAATATCGTCACCAATTCCTTCCCCATCTGCTACTACAAGTGTAGCTGCGAACGAGGGCAAGGAAGATGACTGGCAACAGTGTCGCTTGCTACGTCGAGAAGATGTGCAAGTCTACAAAACAGCCATAGCTTCCAGGGGGCCGGAATGGCTGCAAAAGATGCCCAGAAAAATCAATATAGGTCATGGCAATGATCCATCTGGTTTTCAGTTACTTTCTATGGCAGTAGATTTACGTGGAATTCATGTGGTGAAAAAAATAGGAAACAAATTGCATTACAGTCTGTACAATCTGTATAATAGCAAGCAAGAACAAAATTGCCAATTTCCTACCGACAGCTCGTCCTTTATGGGATCATCGCCTAGTAATATATCCATGATATGTAACAATGATAGCAGTGGTAACACAAGCACAATTGTAGTTCGTGATGGAAATCGGGCATTGTATCCAATGGCTAAAGATTGCGTTGGATCCATTAAAGATCCACAATGGTTCGATTTATCACCAGTAAAAGCTGTAGCTATGACCACTATATCCCTAGCTTGTAATTTGAATAATATTAATCAAAAATCAAAAGTGTGCATGACGGCCTTGTTGTTTGAGTCTCAGAAATTAATGCCACATATTTTACGATGTGATGTAAAAAATGTGTTCGCTGCTTTAATTCAATTGGAAAAAGAAGATCGCAATGACGCGTTGCAAATATTGGATGAGAGATGTGATGGATCACGAAATATATTCCATGCGTGTACAATAATGTGTTCACCTTGTACTAATAAGGATACGGACGAAAAAAAGCAGACAACATTTACCGGTATTACGTCGCGATCATCGCCTGCTCCAACTTCTGTGTTCTCGGCAAATGCACCAAGCATAATTGACAGCTCTTCAGTTGCTACAACCTCGAATGCAGCTAACGCACAACCTTCGTCCATATTCCCAAATGTATCACCCTCAATGTCGTCTGTGAGTTCGTCTGCATCTCGCGAAGGTAGGACGGTAAGTTTGCGAGATATGATGAACCGCCTAATCAACACCGATATGGATCAACCGGGAGCGAATAATGTGAATAACATAGCTGGCGGAAATAACGATGATAACGTTTATATTGCTCGTTGGACTATAGAGTCGAACACAAGTTCGTCTGCAGCTAGTGCCAACGATGCTATTATCGGAAATCCTTCCGAAGAAGAGATTTCTAAAATAATTGCAGGGTGTAGCAGTAATGCAACAGCACTAAAACTCAGTTCGCCTAACTATATCTTCGATCCAATACAGAGACGTGAAAATGCCATATTAATCTTGCAACAAATGTGCTCTAGCCCAGCTTTACGCACACATTTGTATCAATTTTTAAGTAGTAAAGATTCTCAAGGTCAGACGCCATTTATGTTGGCTGTGCACAACAGAGCATATGAGGCTGGAATAATTCTTTTAAATACTATTTTATCGGTCGCAGAAAAAGATGTGGCTATGAAGAATGCAATGATATTTCCACCGGGATCTCCTTCAGATCAATCACCCTTATATGTAATTTGCTACAACGATACATGTTCATTCACATGGACTGGAGCAGATCATATAAATCAAAATATATATGAGTGCAAAACGTGTGGTTTGACCGACTCTCTTTGTTGCTGCACCGAATGCGCTAGAGTTTGTCATAAAGGGCACGATTGTAAACTAAAACGAACATCGCCCACTGCATACTGTGACTGCTGGGAAAAATGCAAATGTAGAGCTTTGATAGGGGGAAATCAGAATAAAAGATTTGCATTGCTATGCAAACTTGCATCATGCACAGACTTGGTTACAAAATTCAACGCAAAGGGTGAATCAATACTGTTGTTTCTCATCCAAACTGTTGGTAGACAAACCGTCGAACAACGTCAATATAGAGCGAATTCACGAGTGCGCAATGTCGGCGGTGGAGCAAGTGGATCGGGAAGTGGTAGTAACTCCGCTCGAAAATCTTCATCATCGAATGATGTTGATGTTAACATGCCCGACCATGACTTAGAGCCGCCAAAGTTTGCAAAGCGAGCATTAGAGCGTCTTCTAATTGACTGGCATGCTGTTAGGGCAATGATAATGACCGGTGCAGAAAGGAGTGAAACCTCACCTCAGCAGCCCCCTAATTCTACAGACGTTTCAAGTTCGGAGAGTTATAATATATACTTACAAAATCAGAGCGGTTCTACTTTACTCGACAAGTTTACACACAATTTGTTCGTCAAATGTTCGTCTGATCACTTAGACACATTGCTTATGACACTGGTAAGGGAAATGCAAAACGATTCAATAACAGATCGGATCGAAGACGCTGAAATGGTTGCACGACGTTTTGTTCGCTCGGTAGTCCGTGTATTCGTGATTTTTAATCTTGAGAAATTTCCAAATCCTGAACGCCGAAAACCGCTTTCAGTACCACTGAAACATATACAGAGTTGCGTTAAAGTTTTTCAGACTTTACAAAAGCTAGCCATAGAAGAATTGTGCGAGGTATCAGAGGCATTAATAGCCCCAGTTAGATTGGGTGTGGTGCGTCCGACCGCACCTTTCTTATCATCATCTAACATTGATGTAAGCTATTATAATTTACATTACTAACAACCATAATGTTATATTACTTATTGCTTTTTACTATTAGAATTCCGACGATCTGTTTAGTGTAGATCCGTTAGCTCCATCGTCAGTTGCAGAATCGATTATTGACACAAATACCGTTCATGAAAATGCTGGAGAGCAGTCTGGAGCTTTTAGCTTTCAACAAAACTATGGAATTGATAGTATAGGTATTGTTGAAAAAATCTTTAGAACATACATTTTACTGATTGTTATACCGTTATCGTTATAGCTTTAAGGGACGCTTCCGAAAGCGAAGAAAACACAAATCGCGATAATGCAGCTAACAATCAAGATGAAGATATTCTGGAAAGCGGTCGAAATGATGATGGCATCCAGGATGACGAAAGTGATAATGAATATACATTTAATGAGCCAGAAACAGAATCGGATTCTGACGACAACCAAAGCAATCAAGATGCTCAGCGGAGTGTGCAAACGGGCGCAACCGTCGGATCTGAAACAGGTTCAGATTAAAAATTCTATTCAATTTTTTTTTCAATCTCAAAAAAAGAAAATTATTGCATAATGTTCTCATTGGTTTTTATGTTTCAAAATGTTTCTTTTAAGAAATTAAAGTTCATTACCGTTACAGATATTGGTGTTCTCTTTCTTGAAGATGAGTCTGGAGATTCCTCACCACAAGAAGAAGAAGGCTCTGATGATGGAGAAACGGATGATCATGATGATGATGAATTTACTTATGCCGATCATCAGTTGGAACGGCGAAGTACTAATTCCAATAATCGCAACGATTTGGCACCACAATCAATGCAATGGGCCATACGCAGTCGAGATACAACAAGATCATCCGTCCGAATGCCTGCTGGATCAAGTTTAGTGTTTATCGATCCAATGGCGTTAAGGCGATCTACAGTTCCCGCTAGTACTGCTGTTGCTCCTCCTCCTCAAGAACAACATACAATGGCAACTACGTCCAGCAATTTAGCCCGTGCATTCGGAATCATAGTTCGGCAAATATCAGAACTAATGAGCGGTCTAATGTATAATATATTAAATGACATCGAAACTTCATTGAAAGTACTTCCCGAGGAGGCTACAAAACTACAGGTTAGTATACTCCTTTGTACATGTGCAAATTCTATTCTAAAAAACATCGCCCGTCTTTTGCTATCAAGATAGAGACCACAATATTTTGTGTAAAGCTGTAAAATTTGAAATAACAGTTGTTTTATCTAGAACAATTGACTTTGTGTGTGTTTTTTAGATCCACGTTTAAATGTAGTCCCCATATAACTGTATATCCATATTTTCAAGATTTCTCAAACGTAACAGCTGCAATTTGACATTTCCAGTTCCCATTACGCACAATTTCTCCTCGAAAAAAGTTTCTATATGAGCCTAGTATTTCCAGCAACAAACATTATCATTATTCATGTTGTTGTTGTAACAGGCTCACATGGTTTGTTTTATTTTTGCTAATCCGGTTCCATCTTCAGGTTGAAAAATTCGGCTACTTCCGCGGGCTGATGCCAGAGATTTTCTAGAGGAATTGTAGTAGATTTTGCAGGGCAATTGAAAAGGTACAGCGTAATGTACGGGCCTGCATCACACGCCGGGCAGACATTACGCACATCTTTGTCAAGTCGTGACCAATACGAGTTGAGAGTACTGCACTATTCTGAACGTAATTGGGCTGAAACTACCCTTGTTTGTCTCCGCTCGGTGTTCAATTTTGCCCTCGACCTGCTTATTCCGTTTCTTTTCTCATCTCCGCAGACTATTTGGTAAAAGTGTAGCCGTTAAGTAATAGATATTTTAATATTTTGTCCGCGAGATAGGTTTGTTATTGTATTAAAGATTTCAACGGAAGTAAGTAATTTTTATTTTTTCAATAAACAACATAGAATAAAAGGTATATTGATGTTCCAATATTTCATATAGCAAAGTGTTATTTTGGGAGTTCATATCACTCTTCAACACCCCCACTAGATTGTACTCCTAATGTCATAAGTTCCCAACAATGAGCATGTTTCAATCTTGTCAAGGGTTTGGTAAGTATATCTGCTACCATATCCTCTGTACACAAATATTCAACGTTAATCTTTCCATTCTCCATAAGTTCTCTTATGAAATGATGTCTAATGTCGATATGTTTTGATCTGGCATGGTAGGCGCTGTTTACGATTAAATTAATAGCACTTTTGTTGTCACATTTAATTTTGACCGGTGATGTATTTCCAAGTTCATGAATCAAAGACCTTAACCATAAGGCTTCTTGTCCACATGCAGACAAAGCCATATATTCTGCTTCTGTCGTTGACAAGGCTGTAGTCTCTTGTTTTTTTTTTAATTCCAAGAAATGCATCCATCTTGATACTTGAAGACATATCCTGAGGTCGATTTTCTTTCATCTAGATCACCTGCCCAATCAGCGTCAGAAAATCCCTCCAGGTATTCTTATCAGATTTTTCAAATTGAAGTTTAAAATCAACGGTGCCTTTAAGATACCTCATAGTTCTTTTGACAGCTTGCCAATGTGCTTTTCCTGGTGTATTGTTGTATCTGGACAAAACCCCCACTGCATAAGTTTCCACTGGCTTCTTGGTAAGGAACTTTTCTTATTTCCTCTATTTCTTCTTCGATAGATGGGCACATCTCCTTTGACAATTTCTGGTTAACATCTAACGGCGTCGAAATAGGGTTGCAGTCTAGCATGTTGAATCTCTGCAGAATGTTACGAATGTATAGTTCTTGATCCAGCCATAACATCCCTTTTTTGCGATCTCGAGTTACTCTCATTCCCAAGATATAATGAGCTTGGCCTATATCCTTCATCTTGAAATTTGTTGAAAGGCTTTTCTTAATAAAAAGTTTGGTTTCTTCATTGTTTGTGAATATCAAGATGTCGTCTACGTATATTGCAACGTATGCAATTTCTTCCTCATTTATCTTGAAGTAAACACACGGCTCTGTTTTCGATTGTTTCAGACCAATTCTTTTCAATGTACCATCTAGTTTCTTGTTCCAAACTCTACTGGCTTGCTTCAGACCGTATAATGATTTATTTAACTTGCATGCCATACCGTTGGAGTTTTGAAGTCCTTCAGGAATTTTCATGTATATTTCCTCAGTTAGATCACTTTGAAGGAAAGCAGTCACTACGTCCATTTGGTCAATATCCAAATCGTGCTGAACTGCTAAGCTTAACAATCGAATGGAGGAATATCGGACAACAGGTGAAAAAGTTTGCTTTTAATCGATACTGTACTTCTGAGAGTATCCTTTCACTACAAGCCTGGCCTTGAATCTCTCGATATCGCCTTTTGAGTCTCGTTTAATCTTAAAACACCATTTGCTGTCAATTGGCTTCTTTCCTTCTGGTAAATTGGTGAGAGTCCAGGTATTGATTTCTCTCAGAGCTTTCAATTCATCGTTTATTGCCTTTTCCCACTGCCCTTTATAGATTCCTTCTAATGCCTCTTTCACGGTCTTGGGTTCTTCATTTGTATCTATAGCATTGTACACGTAACCATATCTTTTTACAAGCTTCGAAATTCTTGATGGCCGTCTTAAATTTTGTGGCGATGTGATTCTAGTTTCAGGTAGACCAGCGGAATTACTATCGGATCCATTATCAACACCAACAAATGGCGAGCAATCCGTTTCATCAGAGTAATACTCAGAATCTTCTTCCTCATGCACAACTTCGGAGCTTGTGTTGCTTATGGTAATCTCGCTATCTGTTTCCGGCAGGTTTACTTCAGCGTCTGTGCAATCTATTTCCCCCACTGAATCACATCCGCTTAAAATGTAAAATTGTGCATCATCTGGAATCATTTTGTTACTAAATTTACTCTCCAAAAATTTCACATCTCTACTCAACTCGACCTGATTTCGAATTGGGTCGTAAAATCTGTACGTCTTGGAGTGATTTAAGTATCCAACAAATATGACTTCTTTGCCTTTATTGTCGAGCTTTCTTCTCTTTTGTTTTGGGATGTGGATGACGGCTCTGCATCCAAACACTTTAAGGTATTTCAAACACGGCTTTTTGCCCGACCACACTTCTTTAGGGGTAATATTCTTGATGGATTTGCAAGGGGATCGATTGATAAGGTGTACTGCTGTATTAGCTGCTTCGGCCCAAAACTTCTTATCCAGCTTCGATTCAATTAAAAGGCATCTCGTTGTTTCTATTATTGTCCTGTTCATTCTTTCAGCCATTCCATTTTGTTCTGGAGTATAGGACACGGTGGTTTGATGATCAATTCAATTTTGAATCATTATTCTCATTCGCTTATTACAGAATTCCGTTCCGTTGTCACTTCTTAGGGATTTGATTTTTTTGTTGGATTGATTCTCCACAAATTCCTTGAACTCCAGGAACTTATCTGCCACTTCCGATTTTCTTTTTAAGAAGTATACAAAAACTTTTCTTGTAAAATCGTCAATAAATGTGAGCATGTATTTCGATCCACTTATTGAAGGAACCTCCAATGGGCCACAGAGATCTGTGTGCACCAAACCTAAAACATCATGAGCTCTCGTTCCAGCATCTTCAAAAGGCACTCTTGATATTTTACCCTTCAAACATGAAACACAATCTTGATCACTTATTTCGCAGTCCTTAACATTTCTTTATTGGTTCAGACCAGTTCGCTTATGCCATAACTCACCCAGCCTGATTTTTTCTTGACAAATGAGAGATTTGTTATTAGAGATATTCATGCGAAACATACCATCTATCAATTCGCCTGTAACGATGACATCTCCAGCTTTGTTCAGAACTTTACATCCGTTTCTGTTGAATACAACTTCGCATTCGCTTTCTTCGATTTTTTAGACTGATAGCAGATTAATACACAAATTGCGAACATGCAGGACTTCCCGAAAAGTTACGTTTTCTTTCTTGAAATTTCCAACCTTAGAGACCATATCCACATTTCCAACGCCATTCACAAGCATCTTTGTGTTATTTGCTATAATAACCTCAGATTTCTTTTCTTGAAAGTCGTCGTTGAAAAATTCTAATTTGGAACACATATGGGCGGTTGCACCAGAATCGAAGTACCAATCACTATTTTTCAACGTTCCCAGAGCAATAGCTCCCATCGCTGAATTGCCTTTGTCTTTCTTCTTAGAATCGCCTTTTGAATTTTTGCATGGACATCTTGCAGCTATGTGCCCATACTGATTGCAGCTGTAGCATTTAGGTCCTTTATTTTTCTTGACATTCTTATTGCTCGCAAAGGCCACATCCGTTGATTCCGTTTTTATGTCTTGAAGCAATTTCAATTTGATTGAATCACCCGTGATTTTAATACCGGAATTTTGTACTTCCATAATCATTGGCTTATATTCCTCGGGTAATCCAGCTAGAAGCATGGAACCAATCCATTCTTCGTCCACATTTAGCCCGGCTGATCTTAGCTTGTGTGCTGAATTGATTATTTCATTCACGTACTCTTCAACGCTGGAACAATCCTTTAATTTGATTGAGCAAAACTTTTGGATGAACCCAACTCTCCTTACAAGCCCGCTATCTTCGTATATGCGCTGTAATGTTTTCCATATTTCTTTCGCACTTTTGCACTCACGTATGTGGGGATACACCGCTTTGTCCACCAACAATATCAGTTCAGCTTTGGCTTGAATTTGCTTGTCTTCCTTTTCTTCTGTTCCCTGGATGGAACTCCAAAGGCCTTTCATTTGAAAATATGCCTCAACGGCAAATTTCCAATCTTCAAAATTCTCGCTTCCACGAAGCTTTTCCATCTGCATATTGGTCGACATTGTTTAATCCTTTTTTATACGCGAAATCACACAAGAAATCAAATTATACGCGGAAGGGGAGGCCCATAACCTGTTATTGTATTAAGGGTTTCAACGGAAGTAAGTAATTTTTTTTTTCAATAAACAACATAGAATATAAAGGTATATTGATGTTCCAATATTTCATATAGCAAAGTGTTATTTTGGGAATTCATATCACTCTTCAACAAGGGGCCTGACACCATGATCGTAAAATCATCCGCATATATATAAACAGTTCCGGACATATCACTCCCTGTTTCACTTTACGGAGTTTGGGTTTCCTGTTCCGGAAA